AAGACCAAACTACACAACTGTCACATATATGCAGAGGGCCTAGGTCAGTCTCATGCAAGCTCCCTGGTTTTTGTTTCAGTCTCTATGAGTTCCTAAGAGCCCAGGTTAATTGAGTTAGTACTAGTACAACTGGATGTCAACATGTAGAAGATTGCAAATAGATCCATATCTATCACCCTGAACAAAACTCAAATCCAAATGGATCCAGATACACTGAACCTGATAGAAGAGAAATTGGGAAATAGCCATGAATGGATTGGCACAGAAGACAACTTCCTGAACAGAATGCCAACAGTGTAGACACTAAGATCAACAATTAATAAATGGGACCTCATGAAATTGAAAATCCTCTGTAAGGCAAAGGACACCATCAATAGGAAGAAATGGCAGCCTATAGAATGGGATAAGATCATCACCATCCTCATAGTTGCCCAGAGTTTTCTTGAGTGCCAGCAGCAGCAAATATTAGATAGAAGGGTTCAGATTGTGGAGATAAATAGATAGAAAATAAAGGATAGCCTCGAGGGGGCCTGGAACCTATTCCAACAAGCCTGACTATCTCTGCCCTAAGGCATTTATAGAACCGCCAAGGGGTGTAGCAAAAGACCCTCCCCCATGCCCAGCACAGCCAAGTGCAGACCATCTCAGACACCTGCACTCAGGCCCGTCGTCCAATCATCCTCTCTATGCAGACCTGCTGGATAAATCCACAATGAACCTGAAAACGGGCTCCCACCATAATGTATGAAGATCTAAAGAAATGATATCAAAAATCCAAATAATGCAATTAAAAATTGGGGTACAGATCTAAACACAGAATTCTCAATAGAAGAATCTCAAATGGCTGAGAAACACTTGAAGAAATTTTCAAAATCCTTAGCCATCAGGGAAATGCAAAAAGAAAACTTTCCTGAGATTCCACCTTACATCTCTCAGAATGGCTAAGTTCAGAAACACAAGTGACAACTCTTGTTGGAGAGAATGTGGAGCAAAGGGAACACTCCTCCATTGCTGGTGGGAGTGCAAACTTGTACATCCACTCTGGAAATCAGTATGGCGGTTTCCCAAAGAACTGGGAAACAATCTACCACATGACCTAGCTATACTGCTCTTGGACATATGCCCAAGGGATGCTCAATCAAACCACAAGGATACTTGCTCAACTATGTTCATAGCAGCTTTATTCATAATAGCCAGAAAATAGAAACAACCTAGATATCCCTCAACCACGGAATGAGTAAAAAAAAATGTGGTACATTTACACAATGGAGTATTACTCAGCTATTAAAAAAATTACATCATGAAATTCAAAGGAAAAATAGATGGAACTAGAAAAAAATCATCCTGAGTGAGGTAAGCCAGACTCAGAAAGAAATACATGGTATGTACTCACTTATAAGTAGATATTAGCTGTAAAGTAAAGGAGAACCATGCTACAGACCCAAAGAGGCTAGGTAACAAGGAGGGCTCAAGGAAGAACTCTTGGATTTCCCTGGGAAGGGGAAATAGAAGAGATTTTGTAGGTGAAGTGGGGGGTGTTTGGGGATGGAAACATGAGAGGTCAGGTGGGAGTAGGGTGGGGCAATGCACTGAAAGAACCAACTGGAAAAGGGTGGCATTTCACGGTCAGGTTGAAGCCTGGTGCAGGAGAAATTCACAGAAATCTACATTGATGATCCCAGCTAAGACTCCTAGCAACTGTGTATACATAGCCTGAACTAGTCATCTCCTGTGACCAGGCAAGACTTCCAGTGGAGGGACTGGGACACTAATCCAGCCACATAAACTTGAACCTGCAGTCCATCCTGCCTATGGGGTGTGCTGGGGTAAGGGTGGCATGGAGATGGTGGGAGTGGCCAACCAATGACTGGTCCAGCCTGAGCCCCATGAAACAAGAATGATCCCACCTCTGAAACTGCCTGGAGTGCCAGGACCCACAGGCTGGAAGACCCAGAGACCTACGATAGAACCAAACATGACTGGAGGAAAATGAATGTCAATGTAATAGTGTCTAGTGGTATTTTGCTGTACTCATAGATTGGTTCCTAGCCCAACTGTCATCAGAGAGAGTCATCCAGCACCTGGTGGCAACAGATGCAGATACACACAGTCAAATATTAGGCTGAGCTCAGGGAATCCTGCTGAAGAATGGGAAGAAGGATTATAGGAGCCAGAGGGGTCAAGGGCATCATAAGAATACCTGTTAGCCAAATCTTAAGCAAGGACCATTAATATGAAATGTAGTATCTAACAAAAATTATTATTCAGTATTGTGCTTATGATGAAAAAGAAAGCAGGTTTGGTAGATCATAGAAATTCCTATGAAAAAATTCATATCAAAGTTTTAGATCTTAGTGTTTATTAACAGATTGGTCATTAGGAAAATACCAGAATTTCCTTCCATTCAGCTTTGTGTTAGAGTCCACAGCTCCTCAACATCTCAACTTCCATATTATTAATATGCTGAATAACTGCCATTATATAATATACAACTATGGGTTTTGTAATTTTAACATGTATTTGGTTGTATGAGTTTGAAATCTCTATAGGTAAGCTATGTCAATATATGTATTTATATTATTTACATAATTAGCATTAAGCCATATATCTTTGTACATCAGTGTAACTTAATAACTCAGTTCATTATCTATGTGGTGCTGCTGTGGATATTGCTCTGTATGCTGTGAATGTGTTGCTCTGATTTGGTTGATAAATAAAATGCTGATTGGCCAGTAGCCAGGCAGGAAGTATAGTATAGGCAGGATAAGCAGAGAGGAGAATTCTGGAAACAGGAAGGCTGAGTCAGGAGTCACCAGCCAGACACAGAGGAAGCAAAATGTGAAGGCAGAACTGAGAAAAGGTACCAAGCCATGTGGCTAAACATAAATAAGAATTATGGGTTAATTTAAATGTAAGAGCTAGTCAGTAGTTAGCCTGAGGTAATGGCCGAGCAGCTTTAATTAATATAAGCCTCTGTGTGTTTACTTGGGTCCAATTGGCTGTAGGGCCATGGGAGCTGGGCAGGACCAGGAAACCTTCAGCTGCATCGTACCATTTATTTATTTACTTACTTACATTTTGTGGTACTTCTGATGAAACCCAATCAAAATTGGGAAGATGCACTGTAACTTAGCATAACAGTTCTTTCTCAAATAAAGCAGATTTGACAGATACCAAAACTCGAACAGTCCCAAATATTATCATTCACTGTCGTTGTATTATTCATTTTCTTAGGGCACTGGAGTACAGAATGCAGTAGGCCATGTGGATAGTAGGCAACATGACCTATTATTGATGAATATCCTCAACTTCTTTCTGTTTCCTTTATTCTTTTTCCTTCTGTATCTAAGGTTAAGTGTTTGTTCTTAGATGATGGCTTGTTTGACTTCCCTCTTTGGGTGTCAGTTAATCTCCTTAATATTTTTAAAATTATTCTAAAATGTCATCATTTTTACTCCAAAAATACTTTAATAGTTCTGCCAATTCATGCAGTTGCAATCTAATCTCTTCTATAATCTCCTGATTATTAAGGTAAGTGAATCCTTTAATTTTCATGCAATTCAAAGCAGTTACCTTTTTGGCAGCAGTTTCCTTTGAGATAATGATCTTCATCTGGCTTTGGCTTGCCTTGATAATTAAAACTTATTCGTTCTAGATAACTGTATATGTTACTCACATTAGAACAGAAACATCACTCTTTGGGCTGCTTCTGATCCCCACAATCATATATGTTTAACCTCTTCTTTTTTTCCCTTCTGAGTTCAATTTAAAACTTGTTGTAAAAAATCAGTTATTGACAAAGGATTTTGTGGATTTACCTAATGCATTCTGTACTCCAGTGCCCTAAGAAAATGAATAATACAAACGACAGTGAATGATAATATTTGGGACTGTTCGAGTTTTGGTATCTGTCAAATCTGCTTTATTTGAGAAAGAACTGTTATGCTAAGTTACAGTGCATCTTCCCAATATAGACTGATTATATTTGATCTGACACTCACTTCAGGAATATGGCTGCTTTGGTAAGATGAGAGCAAAGCTATTTTAATGATTGCCCACACCCTCTGTCTATAAAGTTGCCTTTATTTTTTCTACTGTTGAGTCACAATTGCAGAAAATGGTTCTTAAGAGACACATTCTTAAAAAGGAAAAGTTCTCTAGTTTGTATTTTCTAACTTAAGGTAAAAACCTAACATCAACAATTCTTGTAGAACGCTGAACTCAGCATGAAAGCTTAAAGAAAAATTATTATTTCAATAGGTATTATGCCATTATTTGAAATTTATGAGAAGAAAAATAAGACTTTCAACACTGATGACATGTCACTAATAGAAAAAATTATGAAATTTTTTGTAAAAGATTATAAACACAAATTATTTGACTCACATCTGGGAAAATAGCCAGGGATACTCACACAAAGTTAAGCACATACTGTGTGTCATTTCTTAGGAGAAATCACTTGTCACCATTATCTTTGGATTTAGTTATTGGTTTAGCACAACAGTAATCATTTCATTTGCTCACAAATTCACACCTTGAATAGATTTAGGACTATGTTCTTTAGTAGTCCCTGTAACATGGACAGAGAAGTGCTGAATCTCTTTCCTGTCTTCTTGCATACATATCAGCAGGGAACTTAGCATAGTCTATGTGGTCTAGGAGGTGTTGGTTTCTCTCTTCTGCCTGGCACAGTGGCAGGTTCTAAGAGCAAGCACTCAGCAAATCACCCAAAAGCTGTATCACTGTTCATGGCATCCAATGGAGAGCTACAGAGCTTCATTCCTGCTACAGGCAAAAATCACAGTCTGACCTCTCCATGGAATAAAGTTCAAATCACTATGAATGAGGAAACTGTAGAATGGGAGAGATAACGGTAATTATTTTTGAAAATATTACCACCTATATTATTTGAATAATATCCTTTATAGCCTTGATTTCATACTGAGGAAGACTCAAGGGAAATTGTAGTTTTAAAAAACCTCCATGCGAGGCGGCCGGCGGGAGGCCGGCGGGCCACCATGTAGGTCCCCTCGCAGGCGTGAGCGATGCGCTGGCTGCTGCCGCTGTCCCACACAGTGACACTGGCCGTCGTGCACGTGCGGCGAGGCGTCTGCGGGCTCGGGATGTACTATGCGGTGAGGAGGGGCCGCAGGACCGGCGTCTTCCTGAGCTGGGCAGGAAACTGCACATGTGCAAGAATCACCGTTAAAGACCAGCAAGCGGCCTCGGGAGCCTCCGGATGAAGGGGAAGGGGAAGAACAGCCGGAGCCAGAGGCAAAGCACACCAGACAGAGCTCAGAGCTGGCTCCCCTAGTGAGCAAGGACACGTTTTCTTATATGGGAGAGTCAGTTGTTGTCTACACGGATGGCTGCTGCTCCTAGTGAGCAAGGACACGTTTTCTTATATGGGAGAGTCAGATGTTGTCTACACGGATGGCTGCTGCTCCAGTAACGGGCAGAAGCGGGCGAGAGCAGGAATTGGCGTTTACTGGGGGCCCGGCCACCCCTTAAATGTAGGTATTAGACTTCCTGGGCGACAGACAAACCAGAGGGCCGAGATCCATGCAGCCTGCAAAGCCATCATGCAAGCCAGGGCTCAGAACATCAGCAAGCTGGTTCTTTATACAGACAGCATGTTCACCATCAATGGGATAACCAGCTGGGTTCAGGGCTGGAAGAAGAACGGCTGGAGAACCAGTGCAGGGCAAGACGTGATCAACAAGGAGGACTTCATGGAGCTGGACAAGCTCACCCAGGGCATGGACATCACGTGGATGCACATTCCTGGTCACTCCGGATTCGTGGGCAACGAAGAAGCCGACAGGCTGGCAAGGGAAGACGCGAAGCAGTCTGAAGACTGAGCGAAGTTGTTGCTGTGCCCTCAGACGCGACGAGTGGCTGCTCCTTTACGAGTGGCTGCTCCTTTACCCTGATGTGCAGTGAGGACACAGCGTGGAGGACTCGACCGTGACCTGTGACGCAGCTTGATGAGAAGTGCTTGGATAACGGAAGGGGAAGCTTGAACTCAACCTTCTGTGGACGTTCAGTCATGGCCTTCTGGGTCTGACATTCTGCCCCACCTGCAGGGCTACAACGGGTTCTAGACCACCCTAAGGAGGGAATGTAGGGACAGGAGATACAAAGGAAATACACCAAGTCTAGATTCTGATCAAGGTGCAACTTTATTTTCTCCACAAGGGTTTATATAGTTCC